GCTCACATAAAATGCAGAGAACATTTCTCTCATGGCATCATTGTGAGTGGTGTTAAGTTCATTAACAGCAGTAACTGCTTGGAATGAGATGTGGCTTGTGGTAAGCACCAAATAAATTTGGCTCAATGATTATTGTCATTACCATAATAGAGCCCTCTGCAATCTGGCCCCACTGCTGCAGCCTCTCAGTTCCATGAGAGCTAGGCATACTTCCTGCCTCAGGGCCTTTGCACATGCAGCTCCTCTGGCAGAAACGCCTTTCCTCCCCTTAAAGATTACCTTCTTAACTAGGCTCGCCCTGAACACCCTCTTTAATATGGTCCCGTGCCCACTCCCAATCCCCCTTAACCTGCTTTATTTTCCTCCATAGCACATATCAGCATCTGGCATATGACATCCCTATGTCTCATTCATTCACCCTCTGACACCCACTACATGCAAGTAGTGTAAGCTCCATGAAGACAGGGATTTTTGTCTGTCTTGCTCACAACTGTATCTCCAACACCTACAGCAGCGCTTGGCACAGAGTGGCAACCCAGTAATTATTTGTTGAATCAATGGAGGAATCTTTACAACAGCCCTAAGAAATGGTTTTCATACCCCCATTTTATAGAGGAAGAAAGGGGGCTTAGTAAGTCTGAGTTTGCCTGAGGCCGCAGCTTGAAGGAAGGGTGTCAGTGGACCCCAGAGCCCTGCGCCCTCCTTGTCATGTGTCTAATGATTGTCTGCCCACCCACTTCCCAGCCCTGGCACAGTGCTTTGCCCTCAGTGAGAGGGGCTCTGCAAGTGGCAGGAAGGCAGGAAGGTATTTATTTGTTTCAGTCAGCTTGGGCTACTATAACAAAATGCCATAGACTGGGTGGCTTAAACCCTGGCAGTGTATTTGGCCACAGTTCTGGAGGCTGAGTCTGAGATCAAGTTGCCAGCATGGTCAGGTTCTGATGAGGGCACCTGTTCCTGGCGTGCAGATGGCCACCTTCTCAATATGTCCTCGCATGGTGGAGGAAGAGGAAAAAGAGGGTGAGAGAGAGTTGATTTATTTATTTTTACAACAGAGTCTTGGTCTGTCAGCCAGGCTGGAGGCCAGCCTGGAGTACAGTGGGGTGCCATCACAGCAAACTGCAGCCTTGAAATCCTAGACTCAAGTGATCCTCTCACTCAGCCTCCTGAGTAGCTAGAACCACAGGCATGTACCAACACGCCCAGCTAAGTTGTTTGTTTGGTTTTTGTTTTTGTTTTTGTTTTTGTTTTTGTTTTTGTTTTGTAGAGACAAGGCCTTGTTATGTTGCCCAGGCTGGTCTTGAGCTCCTGGGCTCAAGTAATCCTCCTGCTTCAGCCTCCCAAAGTGTCATGATTACAGATGTGAGCTACTGCATCCAGCCAGGAAGGGGAGCTCTTCTTCTTCTCCTCCTCCCCCTCCTCCTTTCTTTTTCTTCTTAGAGTCTTGCTCTGTCACCAAGCTGGGGTGCAGTGGTGCGATCTTGGCTTACTGCAACCTCTGTCTCCCAGGTTCAAGCGATTCTCCTGCCTCAGCCTCCTCCCCTACTCCCAAGTAGCTGGGACTACAGGTGTGTGCCACCATGCTGGACTAATTTCTATATTTTTAGTAGAGACAGGGTTTCACCATGTTGGCCAGGATGGTCTCGATCTCTTGACCTGGTGATCCACCCACCTGAGCCTCCCAAAGTGCTGGGATTACAGGAGTGAAAGAGAGCTCTTCTTATAAGGCCACAGTCCTATTGGCTTAGAGCCCTACCCTTATGACCTTTGTTAACATTAATTACCTCCTAGAGACCTTATCTCCAAATACAGTCATATGTGGGGTTAGGGCTTGAACATATGAATGTTGAGGAGACGTACTGGATCCATAGCAGTATTTCCAAAGCCATTGAGAGGAGGCTGTAGCCCTGGAGACAGTCCTGTGCTGCTTCCTGCAGTGATTGTATTCAGACCACGGAATGCATCACTCAGCCCTGTCCTGAGTCCTCTGCAGATTGGCAGGGTGATGAGCACAATCTCATTTGACCCTGAAAATAACCACATTAGGTAGTTGTTATTGTCCCCATTCTACAGGTAAAGAAACTAAGGCTCAAAAGGAAAGCTGACTTGCCCATGGACCCCCAATCCCAGCTGGAAAATGTCAGGTCTCTCTGATGCCAAAGCCTATGTTCTTAACTGCTCTGTGAAATTCCCATGGAACAGCCAGGGAACATCTACCTGGGCCCATAAGGCTGAAGTGGGATGGACCTGCCCTCCAGGAGCCTGATGCCCCGTCGGGACGAGATGCACACATGGCATGGGGCAGTGGGCCTAAGTGCCAAGTGCAGGCCCTGCTAGCAAGTGCTGAAGAAGCCCAGACATCAGTGTGGGCTGGGAAGGTCACTGGGGTGAGAAGGGCCCCCCTGGTTGAAGAGCAAGAAGGAGGGCATTCCAGGCCAAGCCGCACAATCTTCACATGCAGGACCCCACAAGTATAGTGGGCAGGGGACAGTGAACTCTGCAGTTTCCTGGAGGGCAGATAGGCTGAAGGGCAGATGTGGCAGGAAAGCTGAGAGGTGGGCAGAGTTGCTGGCAGGTGCTGACAGGCCTGGAATGTCACTGAGGTTCTGCAGCAGGTCTTATTCACATGCTCTTTCTGTACTGGGGCAAGAAAGGCGTGGGGAGAGAGTTGGCATTCGTAGGGTATCAACCCTGAGCAGGGTCCACAGGGCTGTGTTTGTTATATGGCCGGGCAGAGAGGGCCGGTTCAGGTAAAGAAAATGGGGCTGCGTGTGGTGGTTCAGCCTGTAATCCCAGCATTTTGGGAGGCTGAGGCAAGAGGGTCACTTGAGGCCAAGAGTTCGAGGCCATTCTGGGCAACATAGAAAGACCCTGTTTCTATTTTATTTTATTTTATTAGACAGTCTCACTCTATCACCCAGGTTGGAGTGCAGTGACGCGATCTGGGCTCACTGCAACCTCCACCTTCGGGATTCAAGAGATTCTCCTGCCTCAGCCTCCCCAGTAGCTGGAATTACAGATGTGAGCCAACACATCCAACTGATTTTTGTATTTTTAGTAAAGATGGCGTTTCACCATGTTAGCCAGGCTGGTGTCAGACTCCTGACCTCAAGTGGTCCACTCACCTCAGCCTCCCAAAGTCCTGGGATTATAGGTGTGAGCCACCACACCCAGCCTTCTATTTTTAAAAAAGAAAAGAAAATTGGTTGGTATGAGGCTCACACCAAAGCACAGAGCTGAGCTTCACCTTCCTCAGATGGCAGCTGCCAGCAGCCCAGGCCTGCCTCACCCAGCAGCAGGGGCCTTAGGAAAGATCGTGTGGCTTGGGTTACCTTCAGAGGTTCACTGACGTCGCCATGCTCACCAGCAAGGTTGCTTGTTTCTTTCTCTCTTTCCTTCCTTCCTTCCTTCCTTCCTTCCTTCCTTCCTTCCTTC